TGTGTGTGTGTGTGTGTGTGTGTGTGTGTGTGTGTGTGTGCGCAGCAGGTCTTACCTTATTGTGTCATCCATCAGTCGATCGGAACTACAGGCAGGGGGAGGGAACAAGAGAAAGACAGAGAAAGTAACTGGTTAGTTAATGACACACAGCAAAAACACTGGTAATAAACAAATGATGTGTGGCTAAAGAACCAAATTTAATTTGATGCTGCCTGTGCCTGGATTTCTTTTTCTGCATCCTAGTTTTATCAGCTCCCACACACTGACTACTCACCCAGTCTATCAGAATGCAGCATAATGTTTAATCTTCCCACTAACATCACTGTAGTCACATCTCTTTGTGTGTGTGCTACCTGTGTCATTCATGTCCTTTGCTTAACACAAGCGATAAAAAAGTCTTAACTGTAAAATCTTGTGTGGGCAATTTAAAAAGCAGCACGAGCTACTGCAGTTTTTTTTTTTTTTTCAACACAGTATTTTAGTTAGGGCTGCCTCAGTTTAGTTTTCATCAGAACGATCCGTGGAAGTCGACCAGAATGTGTCTGTCACACAAAATGCTTACCAACACATAAAATTACTCTCTTAATCTAAAGTAATGTAGGACCAGGTGCATGGAAAAATAAAGTGGCAATTGCTAATCCAATCCAAAGTAAAGTCGCTAACAATTAAGTGTAAACTAATTTTTGTCATATGTCCAGTTCATCTTCTCCTCATGGATGAGTCTGGACTAATTAGACCCAGGGAGGATTCCACCTCTGAGGTCCCATGAGCACAGCTACATCAGAGAGAGAGAGAGTTTCATTTGCTTGCCTTGTCCTACAGAGAACACTGGACGTTGTGCGTGCACACATACACCCACAAACCTCTTTTGTTATAACACCAGTTTTGTGTCTCTGGTTGCTCATAAACACCAGTACTCTCAGTGATTTATTCTCTAATTGGAATCAATTTGGATAATGTTACAGGGAGCTAATGTAAACCAAGCAAACAAAACAGCAGGGGTAGTATTTCATAGTTCAACATCCATTCAGCAGCGCCACATTCTCACTGTCATGCTCGGTATATGGTTTCTTTTAGCATTATTCAGTATCCAACCTACGTGAGAGGAAGAGAGGGTCTCTCAAAGATTCCAGCTTTATTCACACAAAACACTTACAAACCATAACCATCTTCAACCGTTCCCCAAAACCTCTTTTTATACCTTAACATACCATAGTGTCTCGGAGGTTAGAGATGCATCACATTTCAGCTGAATGGAGCACTCTCTGTCCAATCACAGGAGTGTTGCTCATGAGACTGGACACCAGAGTCATGAGAAGGTCAGCCTTCTGTTTGTGGATCATACATCTACACAGGCACCAAACTGCTACTTGGCAGTAGCTTGTAACATCATACACCAATCAGCCATAACATTATGACCACCAGCCTAACACTCGTGTCACTCTGCAGCTCACTGTGCATCTTCTGTGAATCTGTTTGCTTCCATAGTTCTACTGTCAGGAAGAGCATGAATGTGTCGACCATTCAGTGAAAAACTTATGTAAAGGAATGAAAACTGTGGTGGTGAGGACGGGTTAGAGAGAGTTGTTTAGACTAATTCAACAGCCTCCCCACTCTAGGTGTGATATCACCACTAAAGCTGCTGAATATTTCTCTTCATAGAGACCAGTGTACAGTGTTTCTCATTTTCAACCATTTTAACAAAGATTCAAACAAAATGGAATCTTTTGAAAAGTACAAATGGAAGTTAAAAGTTTAATCTACATTAGATCAACATCATCATCAGTGAGCCTTGTCCATGACCCTGTCACCGGTTCACTGTTTGCCCTTCCTTAGACACTGTAGGTAGGTACTAACCACTGTAGACCAAGAACACCCAACAAGACCTGCAGTGTGGGAGATGATCTGACCCAGTCATCAGCCATCACAGTTTGACCCTTGTCAAAGTCACTCAGATCCTTATGCTTGCCTGATTTTCCTGCTTCCATCACATCAACTTCGAGGACTCAATGTTCACTCACTTGTTACTCACTTCACCTGTCAGTGGTCATAATGTTATGGCTGATTGGTGTATGCACCCTCTCCTCATATTAGGCAGTCATTGCTGTGACCATAGCCATCATGGTGGACAGACAAATGACTGACAGGGAAAACTAAACCTTTATCTGCATCCACCTTATAAATCATGAGCTGAAACACAGACGAGAGGGCGGCTGTGAGCCGAGGAAAGCCTTGATTCATGGCATTTTATATGCAGAGACGAGATGATGTTAAAGATTTACGCTTCGTTCCCTAGATTATCAAGCCGACGCTGCAGTAGTGGTGGCTGATTGTACCATCATGTTTGTGGAAATGTGGCCTTCCGTGGTTTCAGCTTTGAGTGGGTTCCTTCCATTTCCCCTGGTCAGTTGTGCTTTGTTGCAGTCATTAAATTGCGCATTAGCTCTGAGGTAATTGCCTCCCCCAGTGTGCTGAATCAAGCTGCCCTAACCACACGCTTCCGTGCTCTCTCACCATTCATACGCATATGAACACAGACCTACAGAGAGAGACATGCTGGTGTTCATTTTCTGACTGCATTCCGAACTACTATAACCAGGGGTTTACCACCAGCGCTATGGCAGGTATTACTGAAAGGCTCAGCGAGTACAAAGATTAATAATCTAAATGATAAATTATTTGTTCTCTATTGACTTATCAGTTACTTGACTTTTTAAGTAGTATTTAGGATGAAAATACTTTACATTAGCCTTCTGAGAGTAATGTTCTGACAGGCTGGCTTTTAAAACCATATGAGGCAACTAATAGCATTGGGTGAACATTAATTACTTTGCATGGAGAACTGCCTTCCAAGGCTTGGCAGCAGTTGCAGAAAGCAAATCACATCAGCAAAGAGGAAAGGTGGTCAAAAATCAAAACTCAAGCCTGATTTAAAAGGTCCACTGAGGCACACTGAGATTCAAAGAGATGATCTTTATAGTAACACTGCTTTTCACCAACCTTTGTTACCAATTAATGCATATAACACCAAACATTAAAAGTATCTCGACCCTAGGGTTTTGATAAATGTTAGTATCTGTAATAACCAGGGAACCGGGATTCTTTATTTTGGTAAATTAAAAAGTTTTACAGAAGGAAAGGCAGACAGTTTGTGTGACAATACTATGATGAGGCAAGCAAAAACAGGAAAGCAGATCTGCATGAAGATTTTGTTTCCTTAACGCCATTTAGATGTCCACTCGTTTTTGTCAGCAGGCTTACTCTTGATAACCAAGAAGGGCAATGAACCGGTCTAAAAATGGCCCAACACAATGACATACCAAGGAGTAAAGTGGGGCAATGAACCGGCCTAAAAATGGCCCAACACAATGACATACCTGCCGAGTAACCCTCTAACTGATCCTCTAACCTTTCCGAACTGCACCTGAACAGAGCTGTTTGGGTGTCTTCAACTCTGGCTCCCCAAGAGAGCAGGGCATGAATCCTCAGAGCTCTCCTCCACTAGGTACTTAAGCATATCAGGGAGCTCTCAGGTCAAACTTCCAAACTGCATAAAGTGTCAGGATGTAAACTGGCCATGGAACTAGATGACTGGTGGGTCCACTGAGCATACAAACACAATGAAAAAATGTGAGTTGATGAGAAAAGGCACAAATCTGCTGTAGGCAGCATGAACTGAGTCTAAGAGCTGTAAGACTCCACCTTATGAATGCACAGGTACCAAGAGACAAAAGAAAAG